CCTTATGACCTGCGCTGTTTCAAGTTCTAAGCGTGGTGGGCATCTCTGTGGGGTGCGTACGCCGACGCACACCAAGGTGATGAATGCATGTTTGGTTGCCTAATGCCCGACCTTTTGGCTTCAAAGAATTACATCTCAGCGTTAGCTTGTTACACAGCTTCTGCATTCTAGAAGGACTTCGGATATGTATAGCACCAAAAATCAAAAAAATAGACATTGTCGAACCGGTCTCCGTTGCTGCGTCGAAGTGGCAGTCTGAAATAGATAGAACTAGATATGGAACAGTAATGTGTAACACGAAAAGGAAATGCTTCAAATAAAGGTGCCTCACCCTTTGCTTTTTCTGGGCTTCTATTAAGGCTATCAAGACCTGAAATTTACGTTGCAAGATTGAATGGATAAGCCTGGCACGGTAGAGGTCTTTTCAGTTTCGAGAAATCACTTGTAATTTTCAGTGCAATGGAGGCCACGAGGGAAGAAAATTGTCATTCCATACGCCTGCGCCTGCGCCGTCTTACTGAGCGACCTAATACAAGCACGACATCCCATAGTCTATTTTTTGTGTGACCAATGTAGAGCTGTAGAGCTTGGCAGGAGTGGAAGAACGGCTCCCCTTTTCCTTGGACTCCAACAGCTGAAACACCCACGTCTTGGCCCCATCGTTTCCCCGTATATTCAAGCTGTGGTCTAGCCCTAAACGTGGCGCAGACATTGCAGTGGTCCCTACTCCTCCTCTCAACACATTTTCATGGATTTGTGTATTAGAACAACGTTAATATTGTGCTCTCCCACTCTCGTTTCTATGCATATACAACAGTTCTAGAAAACTTCCGAGGAATCCAAAAGTTATACCCGGTTTGAGGCCGCTGCATGCTACTTTTCGTTCCAGAATCTGTCGTCGACCCTGGTTTGAATTCGAATCGAGTGCTAAATTCATGTGATAGAGAGGATGCTGATAATAAACATAAACGTGATCTATCGCAAGATGCGGGGACATTGTGGTTACAATGCATTTGGAACCGTGTAAAGCATTCTTTTTTGCCAAAAAACGAGACTGAGCCTCAGGCGAGGGAGAGGACTGCTATGGGTGCTGAGCAAATTCTTCAATTCCCCGAGTCCTGCTCAATCCTTAGCTTAGTCCGAGGGTACTCGTATCCCGCGATAGCGACAACAGATAAATGTGATCCATCGACAAGAAACTCACTCTTGGCTACCACATTGGGGACATCTGCTTTTTTCTTTTGGTCATCTTCTTTGTCCTTAAGACAGCAGACGAGTGATTGTGAATAACGTGAATGAGCTCGCACACTTCTCAGAATAAACCATTCATTCTCAACCTTGCAGTTTCGACGAGGCGATGAAATGTGGTTCAGGCAGTATTCAACAGTGGGAGTTTAATGGTCGCTATCTTACCTGGGGGCAGGGTCAACCCTACGTTGTTACGAGTAACAACGGGGGGGTCGTACCTGGTTGAGTTTGTAGGAGGGGGGGTCGTACCCACTTTAGTCGCTCGAAATCACGTGTGGGATTGAGGTGAAACTAAGATTTCGTGGGTAGTAGGCTGGGCGAGTGGAGGGCGCGCAAGATAAAAATTTGCCGTTTCAGCCGGCATTTTTGGAGGAAAAAGTGGGCGGAGTTTGGTGGGTTGAGTGGTATCAGAATTAAGTACTATAGAGACGATATGGTGGTCGAGGTGTCGAAAAGGGGGTCGTATCAAATCCACCTTGGGGGAGGGGGGTCGTAAAAAATTTTTCGAAAAGTAACAACGATAGGGTTGACCCTGCCTGGGGCAAACACTCCTAAGTCTAGTCATAATTCTAGCATGAAGAGGTCACCCTGGCAATCGAAAATTGCTTACGCATCTGGCTTCTGACCCCTCCTTTCCTACCCCCAAACCAATGGACCTATACGTAATCCTGACGACGAGTCTTGAAGATTAACGTTCCGCCCCCCCCCCCGCCCTCACAGCACATAGTGCCTTCGAGGTTTCTGAGGGAGCGACTTGCATTTATATGTACAGGAAGAACATGACAAGGGTTCGTGGGCCAAAATCGCACATATATTCGTTCATAGCGTTTGCGTTCTCAATTGTTATCTTCTCATCGCTCGAGTAAGGTCGAAGTTTGTGGGGTGTCGGTGATTGCCGCTTGTACAGGGCCCAGCATACTTGCTGCACAACAACAGAATTGAATGGAGAGGCTTTGCTGATGCCTGGAAATTTATGGCAACAACCTTCCACCCATTTCGGGATTCGTACACCCGGGCGCACTTGCTTTCTGGGCGATTCTGCAACCGTAATTTCGAATTTTTTTTTTTTTTTTTTTTTTTTTTTTTTATTTTTTTTTTTTTTTTTTTTGTTTAGGACCTAATAGCTACTGGCATCAATTCAGAAAGGGATGGCGAAGTTTTTTCCGTTCGTGTTTGAACTAAAGGGTTCTATTTTGATACAGTCAGAATACGAAAATTGGTGGTATCACACTTTGACGCCCCTTATCAGTTCTTATCAGTTGCTACCACATTCGTTCACTCAACTTCTTGGTCCCCGCCTCACCCCACATATCATACATGAGTGCAAACTCTCCACTGTCAACGCGAACGGTGCAACGAAATTGGTGACATCAACATTTCGACGTCCGTTATCAGCTCCTATCAGTAGTTATCACTTCCCGCCACCCGTCATCAGTGTTCACCTCCGGCCCCCTATATATCCTAGAAGTTTGAGCGCTCTGGGTCCAAAGGGGTGAAAGTTATGAATTTCCGGTCAGACACACACACACACCCGCTTAGCCGATTATATATAGTAGGATTCTTAATCATATCCAGAAGTAAATAAAGACACGTATTGATTTTGTTTCCCCCCCACATGCCCACTGAGCGATACCCCAATCCCCTACTCGCCTACAACCCCCTATGGGCGAAGTAAAGCAATCAATACATATGTAGACTAATCTATACGTATTTTTTTCATTGTAGGCCAATCGCCTAATTGCCCAATCGCACGCACGATCGCCAACTCTGAACGCTGCATCACGGTCCAATATGAACGCTTTCGAGTTTGAGTGTTGGTAGTATGCCAGGCCTCAACTGTAGTAAACGCGGGCGGCACAATCCCGCTAGTTGCTCTACATACCAGCTTCTGACGGGCAGTCCATAGCGTACAGTTTCAATCAAAAATGTAGTGCACACAGGTGACGATTTCATGGCCTCTGGCTTCAAGGCAGTGACTAGTGGGTGAGGGCGCTATCGCAGTATAAGGGGGCATCATCAGCAAGTCCGGCGTATCGTAATATGGCCCACGCATACAGGGGTCTCTTCTTTCCTCGTCCAAGGGTAGCCTCTTTCGCAACAAAAAAGGATATGTTTGACGCGGTTTGAAATGCACTGCCTCCACAATAGCCCCGTATCTTGCGATAGCGCCCAAGTTTGTGACAGGGAAGAGGTATGCATCTATGGAAGCGGTAGTCACCAGTGGCAGGCTGCGAGAAGGCCTAAGCGTCTTCGCGACGAAATAGCCCATGTACAGCGCAGTTTGGTTCCGTCGAAAAACTGCATCACCTTTATATCGTCCGGCTCCTCATGTGGGTTCTGCGATATCGCGGGTTGAACTGATTCTTACGATTTTTTATAGTGCAAGTGGTTTTTCAATCCAAACAGCCGTATCACATGATGCTGTCGCCTCTATTTTATTGGGATACCTTCACCGAAACGGTCACTGACCTTCGTGAACTCGTCCAAGTTTATCAAGAGGACCGAGGGTCCTACTTCACCCATTTCTGGTGGTTTTTCCTGAAGTCCGCTCAACATTTTGCACCTCCGCTCTCATATTTCATCACTGTCAAGCTATCGCACTCTCTGCCTTCTACCCCAAAAAATATATCAGGACGCCCATTTCGTCAGCAGGGAATTGAAGTGAGTGAGTCAGTTATAGAACTTGGAACTAAGCATTGGGGAGGGGAAAGGATTCCGGGGGAGGATGTGCGCAACCTCTGTTCTCACTGGCACTTCTCTCCTGTCTTGAGCTTAACCCTAATGTCACCAATCAGTGGTTTTTGAAGGCCTTGTTTTGAATGCACTCCCTAACCATATATCAGAAAGGAGCTATCCTTTTCGACGTCGTTTTCAATGCCTTGGGGAGCTCCATGGATACTGCTCGCACTTCACAACCTTGGTGAATCTGAGGATATGCCACGAATGTCATCAACTATAGTATCCGACTCAGCTCCTCACAGGTAGCCTGAAAATCCGATATACTCTCACTCCTCTGCTTTGCCTGGTTCTTGCATCGTGCTGGGAAGAATACGCCTCCCCTGCCATGAATTCAAATCTTAACGTAAACAATAACAGCATTTTTATCCTAGCGCTATCGACAAATTGATTAACTCGACTGCGCTGGAGAGGTTTATTGCCATGACTCAACGCTTGTGATAAGCTGTCTGGGCAGCGTTAAGAGTTGGCGATGGTAAAATGTAATTAGGCGATTAGGCGACTGGACTATATTAAAGAAGAAAGCATACGTATCAATTAGGCGATTAAGCGAGTAAGCGACAAGATGGGATACGTATAGATCGGTTATGGAGCCCACTGAGCGAGCGTTTAGTCGCCTACTCGCCTACTCGCCCAATCGATACGTATCCTTTTCAGTCGCCTATTCGGCTGATCGCGTGTACGCGCGCCAACTCTGAACGCTGCCTTATACACATTTGCTACTTTATCCTGGTTCCAAGGTCAATGTGACAATAACAATTGGTCTCACATGTTATATTAAGCATAACGTTGTGAAATGAGCAATCAAGTGCGTGTAAAACAGTAATCACAACTAACACGTGCACATAAAAGGCAATATTTATTCTGTTCATAATAATAATCATAATATTTTTTAGGGTCCATTACAACACCAAATAGCACATTAATTGCAGTGTTATGCTCCATTGCAGTATGCTCCTGATCACAGTGTTTACCCAGGTATTCGTGATAATCTCTCATGTGATAGTGTTCTCTCTCTAGACGGTGGTAACTGAGAGAATCCCATGTTTGGCAGTGGTGTCCGGATTCCGTTGACTGAGCACTTCTTGTGTGGTCACGAAACCGTCCAACAGCATCTTTTCTTTACGACGTTGCATTTTTCGCTGAGATAACTGCACGATCATCTGAAAGTCACAGTAGTTACTAACAAGAACATCCTTCGCTGAGGTTCTCCTTTGTATCTGACCGTTCTGGTTGCGTGAACCTCTTTCTGTATTTAAATTTCTTAGCGGTAAAGAAAATTTTCAGCAATTGAATTGTGATGGGTGTAATTAATGCAACGTGACGCGACGCCCGCGTCCGCGTACGCGGCTAGTTTCCAGCTGTCAGACGGAATAAACACACAGGGAGGGAGGCGGGCCGGATAGACATGAGCCGTACAGAGAGCTGGCAATCCAGCTGATCAGGGTCACAAAAAAACCTAGATGTGAAATAAAATTGCAAATGATTGCGTCATGATTTCATATCATGACGCATATAAGGTTATGGTAGTTTGAATATGTGTAATGTCTCAAGTCGATGTCAGACTTTGCGAATCGAGCGAGTCCTAGCGTCTCGCGGTCGCGCTTGGCGATACTAACTTAATCGAAGCATTTGCTGGCCGCGACCGCGACCTCGTTCCTGCTAGCCAATCGCTCTATTCGCAAAGTCTGACATCGGCCGTATGTGTACAGAACTACCTGATCGGCGGGAGAGATCTTCGATTCGATGAGTTTTTGTTGATTACGAATTTTTCTTCGTCGTTCCTCTTCCAAATGCTTCTTCCGCTCCTCACGTGTGTGAAAGTGTCCGAGCTAAATCAAAAATCATAATTTGGAATCGAGACATAGATACGGAATAACCGGAAATTCAGATGCACCACAATATTAGTATGAGCGGACCAGGCAGACTTTTAGATTCCCTGGTAAAATTACCTTGTAGTATATTTATTTGTTTCTTCTCCTCTTTATTCGAGACGAAAAAACCGTTTTTATGTATTGTGCCGTCCTTCTTGATAAAATTAATCATTACACCTTATCTCTCAACTTTTGGATTCCACTTTTCATTGAGAAGCTCTTCTCTTGGAATATCTTTGTATTATCAAAATTATCTACGTATTATATTAGTAGTTGAGTGAATAGCAGTAAGTAGTCGGATGCGGGAGAGGGCGATAACTCATCTACCGATGGACCCCTTGAAGATCCGCAATGTGTTCGACTTCCTTCAAGAGGCCTAGAATTGTCGAGGTCTAAATGACGTAATGTAGGGCTAAATGGACAAGTCATTGCATTTGATTTATCCGAAAGGACGGCCTGATACGAATAAATCAATCTTAAGAGGGGAAGAAGGCTGTTTTTGTTAGCCTAGATGGAAATCAGTTTAAGGACTTCATCGCTAGTCCATGCACGGCATCCATGGTCCCATTCATAGTACCAAGTCTTAGGATCAGTGATTCCTCATAAGATGGGATTACCGTAAGGTTCTATTTCCTTTGTAGGTACATTTTCACCTGGCACATCCTTACCGCTCCTCTTACTGAAGGTTTTCTTCAGCATTGAAAACCTCTGCTGTTCTTTTGATTTTTTGAATCTATTCGCCTCTTGTTCAAAAAAATGCCAGACATACTTTCAGCTCGCTCATGGCGTCATCATCGGTGCTGATGCCTGTTCGTTCTCGGATAAGCTGTGCAGCCCGTTTCTTCAGAATTTGATTCCGAGCCGGTCGCTTCACGACATATCGTGAACCGTCACATCGTCGCTTCACCTGAAATAGATAAGTATATGTTGTTTACCTTTCAACCGGATTTTTTACTTAAGAAGCAAAGTATGGAAAAGTAGCACATCGAAGAAATATCGTGTCATGGCCTGATGCGACAAGTTGTGTTTGAGCTTACTGGTGAGTAAGTGCTACGCGATTTTATCGCTCATTATGCACGAAATAATAAGACGGCAGCTACATCTTGAGAGATTTTAACGCTGTTTCGTTGCCTAAGGTTATCCGCAAAGATGGCGGATATTTATTCATAACTTTTTGCTATTTTCATTATTCTAGAACACCCTGAATGGTTATTTGTAATTCAATTTTATTACAATTTGTTTGGTCTGAACAAGACAAATTCTCGGTTCAGGGCGTCGTCAACCAGAAGTTTCAAGACGTTTTCGAAACACATTGCGTGGACATACATTGCAACATGATGGGGTGGGGGGTGGGACGCTCGGGGTCATCATAAGTTTCCATGGATATCTCTTTCGTAATAGTTAACTCACCTCCACTTGTAAAAATAGTGTCGTTTGATTGACTAGGCTGGTCCGGAGCTCTTTTCGAAGGTCCAGCAGCAGCTCCATGATCGTCACTAATTTCATTCGTTTCTTCTACTGGCTTTTCGATTATATACAATTTCTCTTTCGTTTGAATACTCCGGAAATACCTGAAATGAGAAGGTTAACACTAATTTAATGCCACTGATGACTAATCTCTGAACAGTCAGGAAAGAATGTGTGGCATGCAAGTAATAAAGCTCGATGATCTGCCTATCCTTGTCAGAGCGGAAAGTATTTATTAGTGCCAAAGGCAAAAGGGCACATGGTCAAGAATGGCATGGAATTTCTGGATTCTAAGATTTTGCGAGGTGCATGCCGTTCACAAATTGTTCATAAATAATAGATTTTTGAGCTTTTTCAAAGAAATTCTAGAGGGCATGATGATGAACTATTTTTACTATACAATATCGTCAAACGTACTTCGGCATTGGAACCTTCTGTTGTGTAGCAATGTTCGGTCCGTGATTTTGTTTGTTCTGCTCTCGAATCACTATCGACAGGGAGGGTATCCTTAAAAGCAAATTCAGTAATACTTTTTTATCCAATTAAACCTTCCTTAGAATAAAGCCGTTCAGCAAACTAATCCTTGAGTTTGAAGCTTTTATTTTTATGATTCTTCTCACTATTTTTGTACAGTAGCTAGAGCTACTAGGTGAATTAGATTTTCCAGGAATTATTTCAGGCCGAAAGCAATGAAACTTTGACAGCTGTTTGAGAGCTTCATTTTTGTAGATACTTCCCACAAAACTTCTAATTAGCCGCTACCTTTTCCCTATCCTTTTTTCCGTTAGTTTGATCCACTTTACATCTTTCTGAGTTCAATTGAGCATGAGTCAGCGGCCTATCCGGACGGAAAGTCTTAAAAAAAACCAAGGGTATCACGGTCGTGCACGAGCCATTACGATATACAACGACCAATTCTTTCAAAGGATGTAACCGTGACGAAATAGGTTTATTATGGAAACCTGCATCACGTTGAAAAGTTGACGGCGGGCGATAAGACGACGTTCATAGTTGGCGATCTTATGCGCCAATTAGCCGATTACGAGATCGAGAGTAAGGAACCGTGTTTATTTGTTCACCGCTATTTAAAATCGATTGCCTTAGTCGCCCCTACTCGCCATAACGCCGTAATGCGGTTGCCTATCCTTCTTCAGGGATTGGTAGCCTCATCCGTCCAAGTCTCTTATCGTTGCACGAATCACACACCCTGGAATTTATCCTAATGGCGCAAGCTTGGCTGTGGTGGCCTCGATATATATAGGATTACTGGGCTATTTTTTACTACAGGGAAAAGGAAAGAAACAAAAGATGTTTCTCGGTGGGCTCCTTTGACGGAAAAAAAAATGTGAGAAACCTAGAGGCGATAACGCTAGGCGCTTGTGGACTAGATCGTTGGGCATTTCTAACCTGAATCGCGTTTCAAGAAGATGACGATTTTGTCGAAACATAGGCCGATTGAATAAGTGTTCCACCTATCAATTTTGAACGGCAGAAAAAACAAACACAAATATATACGGAAAAAGTCAAGAACACTTTTGTTGCACCTCCATTTTTTCGGAACCTGCGTGCCAGCCGAAATGACGGTCTCGGAAACGCGAGCTGCCAAGAATAGAACAAAATACCTTTAGATTAAAATGTGAGTAAAGAGTAGATATTTTTCAATTTTTTTTGAGTCCCACGGCTAATATACGGTCCTTTCCACCTGCTTTTCATGTTTGATTCGCAGATGGGGCCGAACTCATTTTAGAACTCATCCAATGCCCATAAGAGAGCTTTACTGGTTACTACCTGAGATCGTTTTCTCCTACGCACCCGGCTAATCGTATGAATTGATTACAGAAAGCTTCCTCTGCTGAAGCCATCCCAAACGGATTCGTGGTAATCTGATCAGGGACTGTAGGATGTTACCATTTCAAGCCTCACCTGAACCGTTTAGCACATTCTAAACTGTCCTTTGTGGGCAGAATCTGGAGCGGAGGGAAACGTCGTCGTGTTGGTATCGGTGTGTCGACTGCCGACGAATTAGGGATCTCGTCCGCATAACCAGGAGTGTGTAGACGATTTGGAAGTTCCAGAACTTCTTTCGGATCTGAAATCGTCAAACGTCGGGATGCACTCGCTGCAAGCACATTCTGCGATTGCATAGATGTAGGCAATTAAGCACGAGAGGGGAAATTCAGCAGGTGGTCTAAATATCATAAAGAAGGCAAAAGAATCTGCTATGCGCCCTTAAAAACTTTGCAAGCTTTGATCGCCGCCCATCCTACTCTTTTTTTGGAGTAATATGGCAGTTTTGTTGGCTCTTTTCACGGTAACCTATCACCGCATTTTCTAGAACTTTCTGGCGCAATCACCAACATCAAAACAGTCGTGGAATTTGCCCTGAGCGCATGATGTCAAGTTTTGCGCGTTGAATTGACGGCTATCGCGTGATTGATCAGCTAGCCCTTGCTCTGGTGATTAATTGATCAATTGAAAATGACGAATCGAATGGGAAGGAGAAAGCGTAGGAATCGATGCTAGTGCTAGTGGGCTTTCTCAAAAAGTGGCCATAAATCCACAGAAATCACAACAAAGCCGCAGCAACTCTCTTCAAAAACCCTACACTCGTAATAGATTTTTCCCAGTGATTGACTTCAAAGAGATTTTTCGATAGAGACAGGGAAAAGCCGATATTTCGACTGCCGGGAATCATCAATCAATACAGTACCATGTGCCAGTGGGCATACCATTTGTAGGAACAGATCGAGAAAGTGGCAAAAGTGGGCGATCGGCGAAAGGTACAGCGATCAAACACTAGATCAACGTTCTCCTAACGTACCAAGCTTCAACCCAAGCGAGCTTGGTTAAGGGGTGCCCTCGTCTAGGGGATTGAGAATAGCGGATTCCACATTGGATGTTATCGGTGGAATATTGTAGAGGCCAATTGCGCATTTTAAGGAGGCTACGATTCAGAATGAAATAGCGTGCGTGGCGCAATGTAAAAAACATGCTACAGACGATATCTCCTTAACGTCATAACGAACCGTACCCTAACCTATTTTTGTTACGATCGCAGTTATCAAAACTGTTC